ATTACCAAGACTCTAGACTCGGATGTTACCTGTAGCAGCTTAGGCTAAGGTTTATCCAGTGTAGGACCATTCAAACTGGCCTTAATACTTATATCTTTACCACTGCATGTCTCAAATACAATTATTTAGGACTATTTGCACATTAGGGTTGGAACAGGACCTTTAGAACACTTTATAAGTATATTAGAGTAGAAAAATCTACTCCATTTCTTGTTTTTAATTTAAAATCTGCAACAGAACATTAGTAACGCATCTAAGAATAGCTAGTGTGTATATATATATATACTGAATGAAATTTCACCAGATCATGAATATAATTCTTTAAAAATGTTACTTTACCTTGTATTTATGGATCTGTATGGTTTTTAAGAAATGTTGCGATGTTTACAAAGTCAGGATTACTCTCACTCAGAGATCGTTGATGTGAGACGCATTGAAATATATGTTACGTCAGTTGTTGTACGGTTATGTAAAGTCACATAAAGTTGCAGTACACTCTCATGTAGCGCTGTAGGTGTCGGTTTGGTTCTTTTGGAAGAAAACTTACAGTTAAAACATCCAAGTATTATTAATTGTTGTGATGGCTTCTAGATTTCAGTGCATATCCAAAAATCGCCATCCAGAAAGAGAAATCCTTATTTTTCTTCAGAATTACTCAATTTAATGCAATGTTTATACATAGGACGTGTATTTAAGTATGATTTCACATAGACTACACAGTTCCTTCCAAACATGCACAGAGACTTGAGTGAATGTATAGTTGCATGCCTTAACACTTCTAGTCCTAAGCACTAATGTATTGTCCTCCAGAGGGACAGTGCTAAACTGACTGTCCCTCAGTTGATTGTGTTGCATTGATTGATTGTACTGGATCCGTATACTCCCAGAATGCACTTTCAGAAACATCCGCCCTCATTTTAGATTGTAAAGACTTGTCTTATTGACCAGAATTGATGCCTGATATGAAGATTGAGCCATCAGTGTGTCCAGCGTAGTATTAGGACAACATCACTACCATGTATGTTAGCATCGTAGCTTAATGCTGGAGGGTTTTTATGTATATACCGGAAATACACTGAAATCCAAACAGGGAAAACAACACTTGGCTACTACATTATACTGACGTGGTGAATGCTGAAGCCTGAAACATACTCTACGCAAGTACGTGAACGCAAGTTTCATCGTTTCAAAAGGGCCTTTCGCACCGCGGGAACCTTTTCATAGTACCAGAACTAAATGTGGAACTACCCACTTTTTGGCGTTTTCACACCGCCGGTGTTCTGACGATTTGTGCTACCCTGTCAGATTTTGCTACCTCCCATTAAAACAGATGGTAGCATAATTCGATAGCGAAAAGTGCTACCTATCAGATTTTGCTTCCAGCATGATATTAATAAGGTGTGAGGCTTTATTAACATGTACACCTACCCCAACCCTAAACCTACCCTTACAGTAGGATAAATACAGTGTTGGTAGCATAATCTAATAGGTAGCATTATTTATCAGAACACCGGCTTCAGGGGCAACATGGCTGCCCGAGCGAACAAAAAGACACATAAATGTTGTTCTTCTTTGTTTCTGTTGTTGAACGCCGCACACAAATGACGACGCTGTCGACCGGCTTACGTCACTTCTTAGTACACACTCTAGGTGCGAATGCAACCCTTTAAATTGTACTGGGAAATAGTTCGCGTAAAATCGTCCCAGTACTTTAGTACTGTACATTTAGTTCTGGAACTAAAGCGGTGCGAAAGGCCCTAAAATGTGTCAGATCGCAGTTCTCTTCAAACTGTTGCTCTGCCAAGACAGTCATTGATGTGATAGAGAAACTTACCATAGAAGAAGATGCAGTGTATGCTATAGTGCCCCTTGTGGCAATACTGAGAATGTAATACCAATTACATTGTTATAAGCATTTGTGTTTGCGTACAATAATCTATGTAGTCTATGTTTCAGAACTAAAAGAGCCTTTCCATGTCAGATTGAAGAAATCACCCAATTACCTGTTAACAACCCACGTTGTGCGTTGATCTCAGGTCATTAGACAAGTCACTGTATCTTCCCAGCTCTTATCTTTCTAACATATGTTCAAATTGATGTAGATTGTGTCACGGCTCTGGATACTGTGTTTACAGCACCGATCTTGAAGTAAAACTTTGCATCGGCCATTTAGAGGGTCATGGGAAATGTACATGTTCTGGGGTGTGTAAGTCAGGGTAAAAGTCCACTAACAAATGCCTTGACCAATCCTCTCTTTTAGTGTACTGCATCTTTATTTGCTATCAACATGTCTCACTTTAATCTATTGTTCTATATTTAAAAAGTAAAAAAAAAACTCGAAAATCAGAGCATGACCGGAAAAAAAAAATAATTCTATGCAAGTGTTGCATGTGATCTGATTGTTTCTTTCGATTGTTTCTGATCTACTTTAGTACTGCATTGATTCTTGGTGTAAGTATTATTCTATTCAGTAAGACAATTCACCCTCTTTTATACTGAGCACAGACAAGGGGCTTCTGCCGCAAAGTTCATTTTCTTTGAGTTGCTCTTTTTCAATCTCATGGGCTTCAATACCTCCACTGTTATTTATTTATTTGAACACTTAACCATAGCACATATTTGGATTGATGTAATAAAGAAATGTTCCAGGTTCAAGTAAAGCTGTAATGACAGAATCTGATCACAAGAAAGCCACATAACTTAAACATTACATATAATAATTAGACTGAAAGATAAAATTGCTTACTAACCTTATATGAAATTATATCTAATTTTCAACTCCTGTCATGATCATGAAAAGCATAATCATGGAAAAACATAATCAGACATTCATTCGTATAAAGTTTTTGTAATTGATATAAGCACTTTAACAAAACCCTCTAGAATGTTTTGCTCCATAGACTTCCATTGTGGGTCCATTACTGTAGATGTGATTTTTGAGAATTGTGTGTCAACAGAATTCAGCTTGTTTTTAACTTGGAACATTCCTTTTAATAGCATTGATCAGAGACTTTTATGTAAGTCAAGAACTTGCATTGTTGTAGTTGAAGACAGAGAAAAGAGATGATTTATATGATCCACAATGCACAGTGTAAACGAGCATGTGTACTGTGTGATAAACTGTATGAGGTTCTGTCACAGTATAATCTAAAAACAAGATTTGCATGTCTTGATACATGTAAATGTACATGATACAACATTTCCCCCCTATATCTGTTATGGCATAACATTGTTTTCTAATGGACCAATACAGAATCCATAACAAACGCTGATTATTTTTCTTTCTTTCTGAGGTATTAAGAAGCACAATTTTTACAATGGCTATCATTTGAGTCTTTTGTCTTCGATTCTGTATGCAATACAAACACACCTTAGAACATTAACACTTCCTCTCCTGCATAAGTAGAGAAAAAGATATTGCACTATTTTTTTTTTCTTTTTTGATGTCTGCTTTGTAATGCAATAAATGCACTATAGGTAGAACAATATTTACAATGGACACTTAATTGGTCCTCTCTCTCGCCCCTTCATCTTTCTGACAACACAAAAAAATAAAATCCTGCCTGATGCTGTATATGCTTTCTATTTAAAGAAAATGCCACTAATTATAATAAAAAAACAAAACATTTTATGTACTTTTAACAGTCCAGTCGTGTCTCAATTGTTTAATCATTGCTCACATTGATTACAAAGGGGTTTTGTTCTGTTTTTCTTTCTTTATCTTTTAAAAATATACCAAAGAATTACGCATCACTGCTGTTTTACCTTACAAAAGCTATCAACAATATTCTTAATCAGTCAGTTACAGTAATAATAGTTAAAGTAATGATATTACTTTTTGCCGTAAATAGTAGTGTAACTAATTACTAATAAGATTTCAGTAATAATATTAATAATGTTCCAAAGACTCCGTCTGCTTCACAAAATGTGCACTCATTATAATGATATCATTAATAATTTCATTTATAACAAAAACAAGGGAAAATCTGTATTTACTAATGTTCTTAAAACCTTATTTTCACAACTCTGCTCTGTAAAACATACCAGAGATGTATCATTAATAATTTCATTTATAACAAAAACAAGGGATCTCTTCTTATCTATAAGGGAAAATCTGTATTTACTAATGTTCTTAAAACCTTATTTTCACAACTCTGCTCTGTAAAACATACCAGAGATGATTCAATTACCTAATCTTCAATGCACCTTTAATCAACTGAACCAAACCAGCAGGAACAGCTTTCAACAAAGACATATAATTCCTGAGTACAAATAATATTGTATTTTCACAAAAATCATTATAACCAAGGAAATTTCCATCCCCATCCATAATGTGTACAATGGACCTGACACCTTTGTCCATCCAGTCCTGAAAAAAACAGATTTCCCCTTAATACGGATACACTTATTCCACAAAGAACAACTATGTGGCGAAAAGTTGTGTTTGTATAATTTCCAATATAATATTACCTGACTGTGAAAAGATGATAATTTACACTTTCATTTTGATGGCTCAAAATCACACCTTAAGGGGATAGTTCACACAAAAATGAAAATTCTGTCAATAATTACTCACCCTCACGTCGTTCCAAACTGGCGTAAAATTACGGTTGAACCCGATAATTCGAAACTATTGTGACTAGTCTTCGTTTCATGTAAGTGACCTGCACTCAAGATTAATCTTCACAAAAAGTTAATTTCTAAATGTGTTTTTAGAACCACCAAAAGCACCTTTAAGTCGACTTTTCACAATCCTGTCAAGTTCCCAGTGGATAAAATCAATACCCTCCATTTTGTTTTCAGGAAAATACACAAAAGAGACAGAATTTACTCTAGTTTCATGTTGGCTTGAGAAATCCATTTAAAATGTCTCGTTATATTTTGGCTGTGTAATTTATGTAACTGCAGAACAGATTATCGTTAAAGATTTTTACACATCAATCTGCTATCAAGCACTCATATAAATATAATTAAATGAATTTCAAACGACAAATTACTCTGTCTAAAGGACTTTATTATTTATCCACAGAGTCAACAGTTTTACTCATCCTTTGACTGAAATGGAGTATCTACAGATGCATTAATCATTTGGTATTTTTACACGATTTAAAAATCAAACACAATTACATATAATGTGTAAAAAAGAAAAGATGTGTGCCGTTCTACAATGTTATGTTTGACTAACTGTGCATCAAGGGATGACTTCTCTCTGCTACAGCTTTCTTACAGATTTCTACACTTGCCGTTGGTTTATCTGCCAGAAAACTGATCCACTGGTTTACTGGTGGTCTCTTATAAACTTGGTTGCAAATAATCTGGTGGTAATACACAGCACACTCACTAGATGTACAACAGAAAACAAACAACAAGTTTGGCTCAAGCAAAGATGGTCTCCTCTCTCCTCTTCTTGGTAAGGATGGTGCCGGGCTTGTGCTGGGCGTCTGGGTGATTGGTCAGCTCGGGCGGGCAGGTGGACACGGGACTTTCTAAGATGGCCTGCTTCAGGTCGTAGAAAACAGAAGAGTCTTCTTTGGTCAGGAAAGTCATCGCCATACCACTCTTTCCAGCACGACCCGTTCGGCCAATACGATGGATATAGTCTGAGAAAAGAAACACAGTTAAATATTAATCCTCCAAATAGGAACGTGAAACAGGAAGTCTCCTGATATAACCATTTGACAGTTCTAAAAGGCAAAGGATAAAAAGTGACAAAAGCCCTATTCAGACGGTAATTGTTTCTAGTGGGTACGAAAGTTATTTTCACCATTTACAGGGGGTCGTCTGTGATTTTATTGCTGTCCGAATACAGAATGTGTGTTTTTCTTTCACCGCCCACGTAAAAATCCCCGGCCGAATAAACGACTGTTTTTTGACAAACACCAGGGTTGTGTGGTAATTCAATTGCCGTCCGAATCCACATCTCTGAGTTTATGAGAAGAATTCAGTGTATAAACCCTTTTTGACCACTCCCGAACACCATACGGTAACTGTTGTACTTCGCATTTGCATGCATATTTATTTCTGAAATGCTGGAAAGTATTTACAAGAACAATATTTTATAACTGCTCCACCACAGCGAGTGGGAGCAGAAAGAGAAGAAAAGCACGTAAACATTCAAAATGGGTGTTTATAATGGCAGCAGCAGGTATGCAATGCAGTATTAAAATGTCTATTCTATACAGTTATATACATAACTATATCGCGTATAATTATATACAACTATAGCGCGTCTATTTTCCTTTTTTTTTTTTTTAAATGATCAAATAATAAATATATATTCTGAAATATGCTTGGAATAATAAGAATATACATTTTACACAATAAGAAAAAAATGGTAAATAAAATAAATTTTAATTAAAGCAGAAAATCATGTGACTAGCCACGTTAGTAGCACGTTCATGGGTTCGTAGGAGGCTAGGATCACAGAACTGGCTTCTCCACCGTGAATAAATCGCCATCTGAATCCAGGAGTTTTATCACTGAGGTGCAATGTAAATTTATTTTTAGAGACGTCCACATGAAAAACAATTACCGTCCGAATAGGGCTAAAGATGATGTTGGACTCACCCTCAATGTTCTTGGCCATGTCATAGTTGAGGACCATAGAGACGTCCTGGATGTCAATACCTCTGCCTGCCACGTCTGTGGCCACCAGGATGTCCTTAGCTCCCGCCTTTAGGTTGGACAGAGCAAACTCTCTCTGTTCCTGACCTTTACCGCCATGAAGTGTACAAGCATTGTACTGCAGGACAGAAGCAAACAAAGATTGAGAGTTTCTGACTGAGAGATATTTCTAGAAAGCATCACAGACATTAATAAACACTGTGTACGCACTCCAATCTTCTCCAAAGACTTAGCCAGCACGTCACAACCCTTCTTCTGGTTAACGAAGATGATGATGGGCGGCTCGAAGCCACTTGCCAAAACATCCAGCAGCTTCTTCCTGTTTACCACACAAGAACATTTGTGAGAAAAGGGAAGTACATTTCTGACAACAACTTCCACTTGACTGGTGACTGGTTAGAGTTAATGTGCACTCTGACCTCTTTTCACCCTCGGACATGAGGATGACCTTCTGCTCCACCCTCTCGTGAGGTTTGCCTGCAGAGCCGATGTACACCACCGCAGGCCGACGGAGGTAACTTCTGGCCAAACGCTCCACTGCAGCAGGCATGGTGGCCGTAAACATGACCGTCTGAAAAGACATGAGAAAGGACATTGTAGGAGGAAAAAAACAAATAAGAAACTTCATAATTCATTGTTCACAGTCAGTTATTTCCTATTAAACCATGGTAACTCATGATATCGGTTACCTGTCTGTATTTGTGTTTGCCTGACTCAAAGTTCTGCATCATTTTTTCGGGGTCTTCTGCATCATCGGTGTCTGGCTTCTGATTGGTCACAGGTATGTACTCCAGAATCTTCTGGACATCGGGTTCAAAGCCCATGTCAATCATTCTGTCGGCTTCATCCAGTACCACATATGTGCATCTGCTCAGGACGAGGTATCGGTTTTCCAACACGTCGATCAAACGACCAGGTGTGGCTATGACAATCTGAGAATGAGGAGCAAAACACATCAGATCTACAACTATAATGAGGTCTTCCATTATGAATGAATGAATGAATAAATATATTAGGGATGCACGATGTCCGATATGCCGATATTTTTCAACTCATTTTGGCCGATTGCCGATGCCGATATATTGTTTGAAAACAACAAGTCTCTCCTGTGCAGAAATTATAAACGAATTATTTTTTAATTTTGGTTAGTTTTTAACAAAATCTTATTTGTTAGAATTAAATAAACAATTAAGTTATTTTATAATGACAGTACATTGAAATCTTTAAAAATAATTATAACTCAACTATATCTCAATCGCTGCATTTTTATTTTTTATTTTCAGAAAGATGCAGTATATATATATATATATACACACACACACACTCTACCGGTCAAAAGTTTGGGATCAGAACGATTTTTAATGTTTTTTACAGGAGTTTCTTATGCTCATCAATGCTGCATTTCTTTGATCAAAGATACAGGAACAAATTTAATATTGTTCCACAGGCCACAATCAACAACCTGATTAAATCTATGCGAAGGAGATGTGTTGCAATGTGTGAGGCAAATGGTGGTCACACCAGATACTGACTGGTTTTCGGACCCCCCCGGACCCCCCAATACAGTAAAACTGCACATTGTAGAGTGACCTTTTATTGTGGCCAGCCTAAGGCACATCTGTGCAATAATCATGCTGTCTAATCAGCATCTTGATATGCCACACCTGTGAGGTGGATGGATTATTTCGGCAAAGGAGAAGTGCTCACTAACACAAATTTAGACAGATTTGTGAACAATATTTGAGAGAAATAGGCCTTGTGTGTACATAGAAAAAGTCTTAGATCGTTGAGTTCAGCTCATGAAAAATGGGGACAAAAACAAAAGTGTTGCGTTTATAAATTTGTTCAGTGTGTATATATATATATATATATATATATATAACTTTGTTCAGTATATATATATATATATATATATATACATACATACACATACACACATATATAACAATATAAATTAGTTTGTTTATATTTTTCATTTTATGTTGAGTTAGTTTTAGTATTTTTGTCATTTTTATTAATTTTTTTTAATGTCCATTTTTTATTATTAATTTTTACAATTAATTTCAGTTTTAGTTTTAGTTATTTTAGCACATCAAGTTAAAACTAAATGAAAATGACAAATGTTGCTTTGGCAACTAGCTAAAATGTGTTTTGTTTTATTCCAGTAGGGCTGGGTGATATAGCCCAAAATTATCACGATAATTTTTTCCATATCAGTCGATATCGATAATTATCACGATAAATGTCACATTTTTATTTCTTTCAAGTTTAAAGTCAGATTTTTGCTCCAATGTGAGTTGAAAAACCAGACGGTTAATTGTGGTTTTCAACTATTCTTTATGGTCAGAACATGACAAACACTTCGTTTTTTTTAATTCTTTACACTTTCAGTCATCTTAATAGAAAAAAATAATTTCTTAGTTCTGCACGTTCTAATGAGTAATATTGTTTCAAATCAAGAAACAGGTTTGTGTTGCCTGATAATATCTACCAGTCTCGGCCACACCAATGATGTCACGGTTCTGTAAACCAATAGGAATGGCCTGCCTCTGGATAGGTGTGGGATCCTGACAAAGAATAAAAATGCATAGAATAAACATTTTTAATATATTCAAAGCATTTACATGGATGCCATAACACAACAAGCCGTTTTAAACACATGCTGAACAATCTAAACCTGTCTAATCATAGCAATTGAGAAGCACACCAAACAAATACAAACTGACCTTATAGCCACACTTTTCGATGACCTCCAGAATGTGTGGCGGCAGTGAATACTCCTTCCAGTTGCGGATGGGGTTGGGGATCTTTCCTCCTTTGGTCGTGATGCTGTAGTCCTCTCTGAAGATTCTCCAGTCTCTGTCTATCATCTCATCCATCTTCTTCTGAGACCAGTGCCGGTCGTCCCAGCGCTGCTTGGCCTCCTTCTTTCGGACCTTCTTCAGCCTCAGTCTGTGAAATACAGAAAATTTAATAGCATATACATTAAAACTGTGAAAATTTGATTATGCTAATTATGCCTGTCAGTGGGTAATAAACTATTTGTTTTTTTATTTTAGGGAATTTTTAGTAAATACTGAGGGGGGGAAATAGTGTTCCTTTCCAGTACCCACAATAAAAAAAATAAAAAATTGGTCGTACATACAAAAAATTGCAGTCTGTGATTTCTCCTTTTTTCCTTTTTTTAAAAAAGTCTCTTATGCTCACCAAGCCTGTAGTTAAAACAGTAAGAGTATTACAATTTTACAATTTAAAAATGTTCTATTGTAATATATTTAAAAATGCAATTTATTTCTGCAATGAAAATCTGAATTTTGTTACTCCAGTCTTTAGCGTCACACGATCCATCAGAAATCATTCTAATATACTGATTTGGTGCACAAGAAACATTCCTTATTATCATCAATGTTGAAAAAAGTTGCTTTAAAAATCTGATAACGATGTTTGCAGCGCAATATTTGACCGGAAGGATGAAAAATTAGTTATTTTCGTCAGCTATGGCTCGTTAGCGCTAGCATTCCGCCCGCTTCAAATCAGACACAGAGATTAAATAGTACAGTAAGATCACATTTATATGAATGAATTATTGCATTTATTTGAATTATCTATCGATTGAGAGAAAGAAAGCGAGGAGAGAGAGAGAGATAGAGAGAGATGACAGTTGTGTGTGCGTTACCTGCGTCTCTCTACAAACAATGAAGCTTCGAACTCCTCGATGCTGAAGAATATAATGTAGTGATCTAGTATCTAGGCTATTTAATTAATAAAAGTCACGGGGCAGCGCTGACAACAAGTTTCTGTGTCTGCGCAGCACAATCTGCGATCTCCGACCTCTCTCTCTCTCTCTCTCTCTGTGTGTGTGTATGTGTGTTTGTGTGTATAAGAACAGCATTTATTTGAAATAGAAAACCTTGGTAGCATTATAAATGTTTTTACTGTCATTTTTGACCAATTTAATGCATCCTTGCTGAACAGAAATTTTCAATAGAAAAAAAAATCTTACTGACCCCAAACTTTTGAATGGTAGTGTACATACAATATGAAATGTAACGTGTGGGACTTACTCCTCTTGCTCCTTCTCCTCAAGGGTCCGTCTCTTCTCCATCAGGTCTCCGTAGAATCGAGACTGATCTCTCTTCTGCTGCTTGAGGTCGATGCCGGCGATGAAGCCTCGACCGTACAGCTGAACCTGATGCTTTTCTTTATAACTAAACACATAAACAAAGTCAAACCTGTGTTCTTGTACGGTCAAGTAATGCTTTAGCTTCTGTATCATATATACTATAGAAGTATGTACAATCCAACTGGCTAAACATTTGCAGACCTAAAAAGAGTGACCTAAGGCAGTCAAGATCAAATGCAATGCAGTAAAATATACAAAATAATCTGGACTTTTATGTGCAAATAACAAAGCAGTGCAGTTATTTCTGGCATCTCATGAGATGCTCACATTGGATTGTAGTCGGTTGATGTGTCTTCAGACGCATCCCACTCAAAGACAAACTTCCTGTCATTCAGATGGCGTGTACGCCGCCGTTTCTTCATACCACCAAGATAACGCTCCTGAAGAGAAAATAAATAAGTATTGGTTCACCGTTCGTCAAAAAGACACATAACCACCTAATGCACTTCATTTCACAACAGAAAAAAATGTATGGAAAGATGATTATTCTGATACGGAGCCACGATTTGCTGAGCTTATTCCCAAAGGGATATTTAGTAACAGTTTACTTATGCTTAATGCTTTTTGTACCTGCCACATTCAGCTTATTGCCAAACAACGTGATTCAGCATCTGTTTACTTACACTGTAAAAGTTTATTTAAATATAGATTACTGGACTACATTTTACAAGAAAATACTATTTCAGTCTTTCTACTTGAAAACTTCACTTTTAATTCAAAGTGTTACTAGCTGTTTCTTTTTAATTATTTGTTAAATTTACTAGCCAGTTCTGAGTAAAAATGGTTTCAAAATAAATCCTACAACAAACTTTAAGTGCAATTGTTAAAATTCTGTACAATCTAGTATTTTCACATTTTACTCTATAATCTCTATAAACTCTATAATCAAGATTAAATAAAGACTTAGAACTTGTAAATATATAAACAAACAAACATATACATATATATATATACATATATATACATACATACACACATATATACATATCCGATATGCCGATATTTTTAAACTCATTTTGGCCGATAGCCGATATATTTGCTTTTGTTTGGAAACAATACCAAGTCTCTTCTGTGCAGAAATAAGCAAATTATTTTCAAATTATATATACACATTAAATTACTACAAGCAGGATTTAATGGAGACCTTGTTTGTGCCTCGCATCTCTCCTTCACACGCTGCACTATTTACCGCCTGTGACTGTCACAAGATTGCATGTACATATATATCGCGCTCCGTTCGTCTCTGACACATTTTTTGAGCAGCTGATGTGTGATCTCTCCTTAGTACTCCTGGCCAGTAATGCTGAAGTGAAGTAGTTTTACTTTTCTGTAGTTTTTCAATGGCTCTCAGTCATACAGACGACATTACCAAGTTACTGTTATAAGCATGTGCCCCGTCAGACTGGTCGTGGCGGCGGTGTTGCAACAATATATAGTGATATTCTCA